GGATTGGAGTGTATTGGGATTGGAGTGTATTGGCTTGGAGTGTATTGCGGATTGGAGTGTATTGGGATTGGAGTGTATTGGGATTGGAGTGTATTGGGATTGGAGTGTATTGGGATTGGAGTGTATTGGGATTGGAGTGTATTGGGATTGGAGTGTATTGGGATTGGAGTGTATTGGGATTGGAGTGTATTGGGATTGGAGTGTATTGGGACTGGAGTGTATTGGGATTGGAGTGTATTGGGATTGGAGTGTATTGGGATTGGAGTGTATTGGGATTGGAGTGTATTGGGCTTGGAGTGTATTGGGATTGGAGTGTATTGGGATTGGAGTGTATTGGGATTGGAGTGTATTGGGATTGGAGTGTATTGGGATTGGAGTGTATTGGGATTGGAGTGTATTGGGTTTGGAGTGTATTGGGATTGGAGTGTATTGGGATTGGAGTGTATTGGGATTGGAGTGTATTGGGCTTGGAGTGTATTGGGTTTGGAGTGTATTGGGCTTGGAGTGTATTGGGATTGGAGTGTATTGGGATTGGAGTGTATTGGGATTGGAGTGTATTGGGATTGGAGTGTATTGGGCTTGGAGTGTATTGGGTTTGGAGTGTATTGGGATTGGAGTGTATTGGGATTGGAGTGTATTGGGATTGGAGTGTATTGGGCTTGGAGTGTATTGGGATTGGAGTGTATTGGGATTGGAGTGTATTGGGATTGGAGTGTATTGGGATTGGAGTGTATTGGGATTGGAGTGTATTCCAGCAGTGCTCTGGCACGCCTTGACCGTGGCTATTTAGGGCTCGCCAAGCTGCATTGGCTTCCGGTTGCATTACGCGGTGTCGCACTGACATTACGCACAAAGCACGTGCCAAACAAAATTGACCACAATTACCTCTGCTGATGTTGTCACCGAACGTAAACCGTGTACGCGAACTCCGCTCACCCTCACAGCTGCGACTTTTGGCTGCCCATTGGGCAAAGACGGCGGTCGCCGCAGGCGTGCCGCTTCTGGGGCCGTCTGGAACGCTCTTCCCTCCTGATATTAGGAAACCGCTTGGAGCTACGCGCTTTTAAATCATATCGATGAAAAGCTCATTTCTTTCGAAGTGCTTTTTTGTGTTTAGTTTGTTGGCCTTCTCCCGCAACCCCGATTAGCGCGGTGGTGAGATGTCATAAGCCTTGCCTTGGTATACAGGAGCGCATGGGTTCGATCCCGACTCTGACGCCTGAATATTTGGAGTTTGCGCGTTCTCCCCGTGGTCGCGTGGATCACCCCCCCCTCCCCCCCGAGACATTTAGAAACATGTGTTTACTGCTACAAATTTCCACGTGATGATACGCAACTTCGTTGAGCTATCATCTGTGATAACCAGGTAGCTCGGTGGGCCTTACCTAGTAAAATAAAATAATATATAGCTTGGTTCAAGAGTTTAGTTTCAGCACGGTGGACTACATACGGGGCGAAAAAAAGTTTAGCGTACATCCAGGAGGGGCTGCGGGATTTCAGAGGCGTGCGTCGTGTCGGTTTGAGAGCCTTAGTCAGTGGCTGACAGCCAGTTGTGTTTTAAAGGAAAATGTCCCCGCAAAGACAAAGATCCCCCGTATAACCCGAACAGACTGTAGGGGCAAGTGCCGTTAGCGAGCACCTATAAAGGCCGGCGCGGCACACGAGGGGGTGGGGGGCCAACACCACGCCCGGCCGTCTTTGTCGTCCCCGTGGCGATGTTTACACACACCACACCAGGTACTCATTTGAGGCCGAGTCGACCTAGGGGGAGGCCCAGGACCCGGTTCAGATAATCGTCAATGGGTGTTGGTCGTGAGCGGGAATCGAACTCGGTACGCCGGGTTCATAGCGCAGCGTAGCGCTAACCGAGAATGCCCCCCCCAATCTCCCACTGACAATGCCCCTTTCACTGTCCTCCTAGTTAATTCTAGATTTGAAGCTTTCGTGACTGCAAGGATTCATACTCTTAGTTCTTTCGGTAAAGTCACGTAGGTAAAAAATAAAATTTAAATTAATAAAAATAGAATAAAAAAATAAAATAAAAATCACGACGTTTCGGAGGCAACACAAGTTTCCGTCAATGATGCAGCAAATCTGGCCGTGACGGTCCCACCTGATGACGGAGACTTGTGTTGCCTCCGAAACGTCGTGATTTTTATTTTATTTTTTATTTTATTTTTTATTAATTTTAATTTCATTTTTTACCTACGTGACTTTACCGAAAGAACTAAGAGTACTCCTCGTTAATTCTTGATTCAAAGTGGCAACACGCGTTTATTCAATTTGACATTTCAATCAGTCGCTTCGAGGAGTGAAGCCTCCCCAGTCAAGGGGCTTAACTTGCTGATGTGACGTTCGATGTTTGGCGGGTGTGCCCTTCGCCACTCGCCAAAGCACCTTCATCAGATATTTAATGTTACACGCGAGATATAATTGTCTCGTTTCGGTGCTGTTCCACCTGAGATTATTTTAAATTACCCTTAGCTCAGCAATTTACGATGTCCTCCCCAAATTGCCAGTCCTTGACAACAACAACAACAACACAAACAAACGGCTTGCAATTTTTACGAACTCAAGACATCCCCTTTGTTTGTTAATTTCATATTTTTATTTTACCATCATTTTTAAAATGATTTTTTGTATTTCTAATGTAATGTCATTTTATTGTATTTGCGTTTCCTCTCCAATAACAGCACGCATTGTTCTTTTAAATGTCACATCATTTTGGAATAATTCAAGATTTGAAGTTTTCGTGACTGCAAGGATCCATACTCTTTGGTTCTTTCGGTAAAGTCATTTTTATTTTATTTTGTATTATTCTTTTTATTTTCACCTACGTGACTTTACGGAAAGAACCAAAGAGCATTTTGGAATAGTTTTATTAACATCAGTTTCACAAAATCTACCAGGTACGTAATTAATTTATTTTGGGTTAGATCTCATCTTATCTTATCATACATTTGTAGTGACATTGAATGAGTCACTGCAGCGCGTGCCACTGGGAGATTGGTAGACAATAGCATTATGGGTAGCAACCCGTTCTAGCAGTTGCACCCGTGGACAGGGCACGGAGCCCTCTAGGGGATCCAGAGGGGTGCTGGGCAGAGGGTAGAGCCTGGTCACGCTGGGGAGAATAAAAGGCGAGCTCCGACTCACAGTCGGGGCTGCTGCGAGCTGGAGTGGAATTGTCGTCGTCGTGGTTGTGATCTTCGCCCTCTTCAAGCTGTGGCTCTGGCATCGTGTTGGGCTGTCCCGACCCGGTGTGTAGTCATCTACTCGGGCTGTGAAGGCCGGAATAAAAGAGAGAGTGCCTCTTACTAGTGTCTGTGAATTGGCACACCGCACATTTATATAGCGCCTTAACCAAGGCGTTGTGTGGGTATAATATCAACGTTTAACGATAACCCTCCACCACCCGACAGAGACAATCAAAACGAGTTGTCACGTTATGGGCAAATGGAGCAATCGATTGGCATACGTGCAACATACATACGTGCAACGTGTATCACGCCTGTCAACACGTGCATGGCATTACATCGTCTCCATCGGCCATGATCTATCCACCCAGGTCTCACGATGCACCATTCTGTCTCTCGTACCCACACGCGTGCCGATGCTTCACCATGGATCCATGTCGACATCGGACATCCATGTCCACATCGGACATCTCCACAGCGGACATCCTCTAGGCTGTCTACCTTGCTTTGGCTGCCACGTCAGTGGCCTCTTCAACCGTCAAGTTATCCTCCCGACTCGCGATCGATTGTCCACTTAACGTTAGCAATCGGATTTAAAACTAATTTAATTAAAAACGACATTTTGTGTTTAGTTTGCTGGCATTCCTACCCCCCCTCACCCGCAAGCTTACTGAAGTAAGGGTCACGTAAGGGCACCTCGGGACCATTCATTAACTCATCACGGCATTTGGATGTCTATTGAAGAAAGACGGTCACTGCATCGAGCGCTTTCAGATGCGCGTTCTGGGGCCGTCTGGAACGCTCTTCCTTCCGGTATTAGGAAGCCACTGGAACGACGCACTTTTAAATAATCTATATTGAAAATAAATTCATTTTAGAAATGCTTTGTGTGTGATTAGTTTGTGATCCTTCCCCACCGCACGTCCGATTGAGCGCGGTTGGCTACGTACGGTGCGAAAGAAGTTCAACAACGTACGTACACCTCGCCATAGGCTGCCTCGAGCGTGTGCGCATTCTGCGATCCGTGCGTCTCCCTTGATTTGTCTCTCGATGTGAGACACAGAGTACGACTACAGCTACGCACCGAGGCGTGCGTGTAGATCAGCGGTCGGGAACCTATAGCTCGCGAGCCATATATGGCTCTTCCGGTGACGGCATATGGCTCCCGGACAATTTTGAGTTGAAAAAAATAATAATAAAAAAATAAAAATAAAATCAGTTTGGAACTGATTTTAAAATACTTGTGATATTGCTTAATAATACTGTGTCATTTTAAAGTAAACAGAAATTAGTTTTGAAGATAAAATTTCTCGGGTCACGGGTCCCGTCGCATTAAAAGTAAGACATTTAATTTATTATACGTTAAAAATACTATATGGCTCTCAATGAAATATATTTATAAATATTTGGCTTTTATGGCTCTCCCAGTCAAAAAGGTTCCCGACCCCTGGTGTAGATATCAATTCACGGCGACGTGACGATGCAGGTGGGGGACACTGCTCAGGCCCCATCCTGGAGGAATCCGATAAGCCATGACACTTTTTGGGTTTTTTTTTGTTTGTTTTTCCCCACAGATGTTCACGGATGAACAGAATGAAAGCTCAGAGCCCCTTCTAAAAATAAAATGCGTTTAGGTAAGTAAATAAATGTTGGTAGGTCCTTCCCTCGTACGCGCACGGAGGTGGGGGAAGTGGGGCAATGTTAGTAGAATGCACGACTAATAAAAGCAGGTCGTGTCGTTTGCAACTAATTCGGTTGAGCGGTTTGTTTACCGTTGAGTGTCTGCCCCACCACCACCACCCATCGATATGTGAATCTGCCCCTTTGATATTTCTTTTAGCGGTTGGCACATCGCACAGCATCAGAACGGGGATTCTGTGCTCAGAGCCCTGAAATCGCCTTGAGAGAGTTCAACTCGATGGAAAGCTTCAAATCTAGAATTAACATCCTCTACGGGGAGGAATTTCACCTATCTGTTCGAGTTTTTAACAGACAATGAGACAAGAAGTCACAGCTTCTCGAGACGCTGGCCTTCCTCAAGAGATGCCGTGATAACAAGGTAATACCCATCGCTTTCACACTCACATCTGCTGCTGTGTCCTCACCGAACTCTATATACAAGGTCGGGTCTCTTGGAATTTCGCTTTACTTGATACAGCAATCGTACTGTGACGGTTCCACCTGACGAAGGAAGCTTGTGTTGCCTCCGAAACGTCGTGATTTTTTTATTTTACTTTTATAAATTTTAATTTTATTTTTTACCTACGTGACTTTACCGAAAAAACTTAAGAGTATCGATGGACTCCTCTCTCTCTCTCGTTATGCGAGCTTTGAAAGCGGTAACTCCAACTGAAGCGCCTTAGTTACGCCTGTGAGCATTGACACTTCGCTATAACAAACAAAAAAACGCGGATGCAGACACCCACACAACATCATCAACGTCGTCGCCATTCCGTCACCATCTTCCTACGCGTTTTCTCACCCCTTCCCCTCCCTCCCTCTCCTCCCTCCCTCCACTCCCTCCCTCCCCTCCCCTACCTCTTTCCCCCCTCCCTCCTCTCCCTCCCTCCCCCCCTCCCCCATTTGTCGTCGGTCACGAGCCGACGTTCGCGCGTAGCGTGCGTCCGCGCGCGTCGCTGCAGCGTGAATGCGGACAGCAGTGTCACAGCGGGTGATTGACGGTTGACCCAAGTCCCGTGATTGATAGCGGCACGCGGTACAGTGGTGATGATGATGATGGGTGGCGACGGTGGTGATTGCGAATTATTTGGGAGTGGTGGTGTTTTCGATTGCGGTGGTGTAGCGGTTAGCGCAACGCTACGCTGCGAAACCGGAGACCCGAATGCAATTCCCGCTCACGGCAAACGCCAGTGACGATTATATGAACCGGTCCTGGGTCTACCCTAGGTCGACTCAGCCTCAAATGAGTACTCGGCAGGCAAAGGCGGCCGGGCATGGAGCTGGCCACCCACCCCCTCGTGTATCGTGCCGGCCTTCATTTCGTGCTCGCTAAGAGCACTTGCCCCAACAGTATGTTAAGGCTATGAGGGTGGTCTTTGTCTTTGTGGTGATTGCGAGCCCAGTTTATTTCCCGATCACGGCTCGCATCAGTGGCGAATATTTAAGACCAGTCCAGCTGGGCGTCTTCTAGATCGACTCGGCCACAAATGAGTACCTGCTGCTAGTGTATACAGATGAGTGCTGGAGAGACAAAGGCACGTTGCTCGCCAGACCACCCCCTCCTGTGCTGGTACTGGACTTCATAGCGACTGCTAACAGAACACTGTTAAGGTTATACAGGGGGGGGGGCGGGGGTGGAGGAGGATGATATTTTGTTGCATTTGATTAGTTTCACAATGCCTATTACACCAATGCTAATGCAATGTCGACTTGACACACGTGTCTTGAGATGGTTATTTATTGAAGACACGTTCACTTGAACAGGCGGAGACCTCACTGCAGACTGACTCCCCAGTCATTACCTCCCGTGGCCACTAGTCCATTCGCACTGCAGGCTTATTTCCCTGTCATTACCTTGCCTGGCCAGTAGTCCATTCGCACTGCAGGCTGACTCCCCTGTCATTACCTCCCGTGGCCACTAGTCCACTCGCACCGTCGGTGGACATCTGCGTGGCTCGCGCCTGATTCTGATTGAAGATGGTGTATTCATTAATCGATTGAATACCCCCCCCCCTCCGTTTAAAGCTACGAGGACGAGGTTTCAGTGCCCGTTCTTCTCATCCGCTCGAGGTGCAGTGTTCCTCACTCAATTTCAGAAGGGGGGAGGGGAAGGGGTGGGGGTCTTTCGCCGATAATACATCGTCAGTGTGTCAGGTGCCGCCACCACACATTGGAAACCATTGGGGGGTTTGACAACAGCACGATGATGATGAACTATATCTATCAACTAAAAAAAAAATACAAAAAACATTTGACCAGGTAAGGCCCACTGAGCTGTATAGCTCTGTTTTTCAGAAGCGACCTGCTCACGAATAATAGCTCGACGAAAGCGGTGTACCACCATGCGCGTGGAAATGTTTCGCGACCAAACACTCCGAACGCGCGTTGATTCTAAATGTGGAGGAGAGAAGTGAAAAAAGAAACCCACGCGACCACTGGGAAAGAAAGAGAGAGACGCGCACACTCCAAATATACAGCAGCAGGCGTCTAGGATCGGGATCGAACCCACGACCTCCTGCATACCAGGCGAGGTAGTTAACATCTTCCTATCCGTCGCAGTGCCCAACCCGTTCATCGCTCGCGTTCTGACCACTGGGCTCTCACCAAGAGCCGGACCGTGGCAACCAACGTGACAGCTTTAGCAAACGCTAAGAGGGCTAATTATTCACTATAGGGACCTCATTTGCCAGTAAAAATATGATAATTGGTTCTTTACCCTTCTATCTGGCAACAAAACTGACACCTTTTTGCAAGGAGTCATGTTTGCATAGACCGCAATACCTGCAGTCATAAATACAAACAAAAGACATAACTCTGATAATGTGCACTGTCCCTGAAGTTGATTGGTCCACACCCGAGACAGCTTTCCTTCGAGCCTAGTCTCATATGGGTTGGACCAGATGACGCCAAAAGGCGCACGTGCGCCTTTTGGCGTCATCTGGTCCAACCCATATGAGACTAGGCTCGAAGGAAAGCTGTCTCGGGTGTGGACCAATCAACTTCAGGGACAGTGCACATTATCAGAGTTATGTCTTTTGTTTGTATTTATGACTGCAGGTATTGCGGTCTATGCAAACATGACTCCTTGCAAAAAGGTGTCAGTTTTGTTGCCAGATAGAAGGGTAAAGAACCAATTATCAGGGCTAATTATTGTTCGGACGTTTTCTTACTCCCCCGCCCCCCCGTCTGTTATTACGGCACTAGCGGTCTACCGGTTGCCGGCTATAAAGAGAGAACGAAAAAATACCTGCTAAGTGCACTCATCCCGGATCCCTCCGGTGCATCACCTCCCCTCCCTCCGCTGCCCCCCCCCCATCCCCGGTTTCCCCCCTGCCCATGCGTTGTTTCATAATCACCGCCGTGCCCCCTGCCCCTCGCTCCTGCCTCCTGTCCCGGTGTGCTCGCGCGCCGCTCTCTGTTTACGGGGGCGGCGCGGAGAGAGAGGGGGGGGGGGTCTGAGTGTGCGAGAGAGAGAGGGGCACGGACGCTTGCCTCGGAAGGCTCACAGCAGCAGCAGCTGTAGAAGCAGCAGCAGCAGCTGTAGTAGCAGTAGCAACAGCTGTAGAAGAAGCAGCAGCTGTAGGAGCAGTAGTAGTAGCAGCAGCTGTAGTAGTAGTAGCTGTAGGAGCAGTAGTAGTAGCAGCAACTGTAGTAGTAGCAGCTGTAGGAGCAGTAGTAGTTAGCAGTAGCTGTAGGAGTAGTAGCAGCTGTAGGAGCAGCAGTAGTGGTAGCAGCTGTAGTAGTAGTAGTAGCTGTAGGAGCAGTAGTAGTAGCAGCAACTGTAGTAGTAGCAGCTGTAGGAGCAGTAGTAGTTAGCAGTAGCTGTAGGAGTAGTAGCAGCTGTAGGAGCAGCAGTAGTGGCAGCAGCTGTAGTAGTAGTAGCAGCTGTAGGAGCAGTAGTAGTTAGCAGTAGCTGTAGGAGTAGTAGCAGCTGTAGGAGCAGTAGTAGTGGCAGCAGCTGTAGGAGTAGTAGCAGCCGTAGGAGCAGCAGCTCTAGAAGCAACAGCAGCTGTCGGAGCAGCAGCTGTATAAGCAGCAGCTGTAGGAGTAGTCGCAGCTGTAAGGGCAGTAGTAGTGGCAGCAGCTGTGGTAGTACCTGTAGGAGTAGTAGCAGTTGCTGTAGGAGTAGCATCAGCTATAGGGGCAGCAGCAGAAGTAGGAGCAGTAGGAGCAGCTGTAGTAGCAGTGGCAGCTGTAGGATCAGCAGAAGCAGTAGGAGCAGCAGCCGTAGGAGCAGCAGCAGCCGTAGGAGCAGTATCAGTTGGGGCAGCTATAGGGACAGCATTTGAAGGAGCAGTTCACTGTGGAGGAGAGAAAGAGAGAGCATCCTTCAGGGTAAGTTTGCTTCTTTGAATCCATCGATTGGTTATTTTTTTATTGCAAATGTAATGTTTTTACCGTACGTACGCACGCACGCGGACGTACATACGTACGTAACGTTTGATTTGCTGCTTCTTTTCACCATAAGTTGACCGAATAAAAAAAATGTAACGGACACAAATAAGCCACGCTGTGTAGTAATTCCGTCACACTCGTGATGATAAATTGTGTGTGTGTGTGTAGTGTTTAGTAACTGCATTGTAAGTGTAACACCTATGGGATTTGGCGCTCCATTCCGATTAGATGATACTGGCAGATTAACGGGCTGTGGAAGCAGCCATTAAATATAAAATCGTGGTCTTTATCATCCATGCCTTTGTAGGTATATATATTATGGGAAAACGTGAGCGTAAGAATTCTAGATATATTTTTCTCTGGCGCAAACAATTATTTGCTGTTTCTTTCTCAACGCAGAAAATACAATTTAGAATCGGGCATAAAATCCCACCCTAGCGTAGCTGACGATTCCGTAGTATAAGCTCTCGTTTTGAAAGAACCCAACGTGATTTGCGAAATGTGCTGTGCTACACATCATCAGCATCAGCATAATCAGCAGCTATTGTCTATCCACTGCTAGATGAAAGCCTTCCTTCCCTCGCCATCACCACCCCCCCTGATCCCGAGGCTCCACGTTTTTTGTGATGCCGACCTGGGATGTCATCGCTTCATCTCCGCAGTGGTCGTGTTATCGGATTGCGCTCTATCCCCCTTTCGCTTCCATTCCACGACCAGTCTCGCCCATCAGCTATCATCATCATTATCATCATATATGTACGTATGTTGAACTTATGTTGCACTACCGTACGTAGCCAACCGCGCTAATCGAAGCTGCAGGGGGGAAGGACAACAAACTAAACACAAAAAAACACAGATCTAAAGCAATGTATTTTCAATTCCATCATCCATTCGAGCGATGTGTCTTTGCCAAAACCACTTTTGTTCAATTATCCTGATGCCTCTAATTTGCACGTTGTCCCTAATTGCCCACGTGTTCTTCTTTACGTTTCTGAAGTTTAATTTCCAACCCTCAATATGCAGCTGTCATACGATGTGTACGACAGCATATTTACTCTCACCAGAGCATCGCTTTATCTTCTAGACTCACTTTCAGGAGGATTCCTCATTGGGTGGCGTGACCAATTCCACGAACGACTCCTTGACTTCAATGTGAGAGAGAAACCCAAGTAGCCCGAGGCAAACGATCAGCCACACACGGGAGGAGCGCACAAAGCTCCACACGGATGGATTCAATAATTAATATCTCTACTGCCTTCTGGATACCTTGCTATCAAAGTGCGAACGACACAACGCCTGAATGTTGCAATATATTCCACCACGCAAGTACGAACTGCGAAGCTCTCCCCTCGGTTGCCACCTGCCCTGGTTTTCCCGGGACATCTTCTGTAAGAGGTCGCTTTGGCGTGGTGCTATCCAGCCATGTCCTCGTGTGCCGTGCCGTGCCGTGCCTTCATAGGTGCTTGCTAACAGCACTTGCCCCAAACAGTCTGTTGCAGGCTATACGGGCGGGGGAGCCTTTGGCTTTGTAGATGAGTGCTCGGCATATTGGATACCACGTTGAGCTGCAATCTTACCGCCGCCGTTACCATGAACACGTTCGAATTTTGTTGAATCCCGGAAGATTAGCAGGGCAGAGGCTGATTAAGTGCTGTGATGGGAGCGTATTAGTGTCGCGGTTAGCGCGCTGCCGTACGAACCCGGCGAACCGAGTTCGATTCCCGCTCACGGGCAATACCAGTGGCGAATATCTGAACCGGTCCTGGGCCTCCCTTAGGTCGACTCAGCCTCCAATGAGCACCTGGTGCGGTGCGTGTTAACATCGCCACTGGGGAGACAAAGGCGGCCGGGCGTGGTGCTAGCCCCGTCAACCCCCTCGTGCGCCGTGTCGACATTCGTAGGTGCTACTCGCTAACAGCACTTGCCCCTACAGTCTGCTGAGGCTACGCGGGCGATCTTTGTCTTGGATGGGAGGCGTCAAGGGGACCTGGCAGGGTGTTGTAGCCCTGAGACTGCCGGGTGACCAGCGATGTGGCAGCGCTGTGCGTCACCCTCCTTGCGAATGTGGGGGGGGGGGGGGGGTCCCTTAGAGATACTCTGAATTTCATCGCACGTGCCAAACAGTATGTTTTTATTTTGGTCATGGAATCGGCACCAACAATTCAGTGCAGCACAACTGAAAATAAAAACCCCGCCTTGAGAGAGAGAGCTATTGAAGCTTGACGGGATACAAAAAAACACACGATCAGAATCATCACAGTGAGATGATTGTTGACCTTTGTGCAATATAACTCACCGAATATTGACCTTGAACGTTGAATGGATCTTCCTCAGCTTTACTCAGCCTGAGCCGGGTTTCGTGTGTGTGAGAGGAGCGGTGGCGCAGCGGTTAGCGCGCAGCACGAACGACTCCGGCAATCGCCCCGGGTTCGATCGATCCCGCTTACGCCCACCAACACCGATGACGATTATCTGAGCCGGTCCTGGCCTCTCGCCCAGGTCGACTCGGCCTCAAATGAGTACCTGGTGCGGTGTGTGAACATCGCCACTGGGGAGACAAAGGTGGTCGGGCGTGGTGTTGGCCACCCACCCCCTCGTGTGCCGTTCCGACCTTTATAGGTGCTCGCTAACAGCACTTGCCCCAACAGTCTGTTACAGGCTACACGGGGGATCTTTGTCTTTGTGTGCGGTGGTGTGCGGTGGTGAGCGCTACGCTGCGCTTCCAACTCGGTGAGCCCAGTTTGATTCCCGCTCACGGCCAACACCAGTGACGATTATCTGAACCGGTCCTGGGCCTCCCCTAGGTCGACTCAGCCTCAAACTAGTACCTAGTGCGGTGTGTGAACATCGCCACTAAGGAGACAAAGGCGGCCGGGTGTGGTGCTGGCCCCCCATCCCCGTCGTGTGCCGTGCCGGCCTTCACAGGTGCTACTCGCGAACAGCACTTGCCCCAACAGTCTGTTAAAGACTACACGGGGGATCTTTGTCTTTGTACCGGGGAGATGAAGGCGACTGCCGGGTTTCGCCTTTTCCACGTAACTGGCTGCCTCGGCCTAATTGGGTGATCGTTAATAGCACTTGGCCCCATCCATTAATCTCAGTTAAATATAAGATGTTTGTATTTACACACACACGCACACGCGCGCGCGCGAGCGTGCGCACAGACAAAATTCGTGTGCTCGAGTGGGCAAGTACATTCACGCTCTCACCGTGACTGTGACACGCGGAGGCGGTACGGTGGGGGTGGTTTTGGTTTGGTTAATTTCCACAATGGAATTGTAAAGCGGCACGGTAACCCAGAGAGTGGTCTCCGGGTAAAAGACTCTCTTAATTTGAGTCGCATTAACGCTAAAACCTCGTGAAAGCATTTTGCGGATGTCTCATTACAGCGGGTGTCACTCAGATGTCTCGGGACGAGGCTATATTCATTAGAGACGCCAACTCGAGCAGCACTGTCAGCCCCCCCCCCCCCCCCTTCCCTAACAGTGGGAAATGAACAGCGCAGCTACAGAAAGCGTCCATCAGGTTTTGTTGTTGACGCGACAAAAGACGGCTCCTCGGTGCCACCTGCCAGGAGTTGCGGCTTTACGCGTCTTGGCTACCGATGGAATTGCGGGGTCAGGTTCTGGGGGGTTGTTCGCACAACCCTGAATAAAAAGCACGTTGCATTCTGGTCTATGAGCGATCCACTGCTGGATGAAGGCCTCCGCCATGGGTATCGACATCCCACGTGGCCCCATGACACCACCACCACGATCTATCTACAAAACACAATTGCTATTCTTATTGTTAAGGGTTTTTTTTTATCTGGAATTGTGGAATGCGTTGATGTTGTCTTCCGGCCGAGTTACCCGTGAAAAGTAGTTCCTTAGGGGCCGTCCATAAATGACGTCACGCACCTGGGGGGGGGGGGGGGGGAGACATTTGTGACGATGTGTGACAAAGGGGGGGGGGATTGAGAAATGTGGCGTCACATCAAAATGTGCAACTTTAAATAAATATATACGACACGTTCTACTTAATAAATAGACTTTTTAATAAATGTTTTCTCCTACAACATCAGAGTGCAGCGCCACATTAAATACGCACTACAATGCCAATAGTTGAAAGCGATTTGAAGCATGTTTTATTTATTTTTGGGGGGGGGGGGGCAGAGCTTTGTGACGTCAAATTTGAGGGGGGTCTGATTTTTTGTAACGCCGTGTGACAACGGGAGGGGGGGGTCAAAAATCGTCCAAAATCATCCAAAATCGCGTGACGTCATTTATGGACGACCCCTTAGCTCATCGGGCTTGACTCGGAGAAAAATCCACGCGACCACGGGGAGAAAGAGAGAGAGAGAAAACATGCAAACTCCAAATATACAGCAGGCGTCGTCAGGGTCAGGATCTCCGCAACCGAACCCACGACATCCTGCATACCAGGCGAGGGAGTTAACATCTCCTAGCCACCGCAGCGTGAGATCTAAAGTCGGGTTGCCTCCTGTGGGCAGCCATTCCACCACCCGACGATTTCCGTGACGTGTTCTGGCCCAAGCCAACAAAAGGTAAAGATCCCCCACGACCCCACGTATAGCCTTACCAGACTGCTGGGGCAAGTGCTGCACCTATGAAGGCCGGCGCGGTACACGAGGGGGTGGGTGGGCCAGCACCACGCCCGGCCGCCTTTGTCTCCCCAGGGGCGTTGTTCACACATTGTCGACCGAGTGGAGGCTCAGGATCGGTTCAGATAACCACTACACTACTGCCATCTCACATTCAATCTAGCTTTTTTTTATGCTTTCGTGACTGCAGGAATCCATACTCCCACTTCAGCAAAAAAAAATTCTTGCTTTGGGTTTCCCACCTGATGATGATTGCTTGTGTTGCAATCGAATCGTCGTGATTTATTTTATTTTATACCTATGTGACTTTACCGAAAGAACCAAAGAGCATTACACAATCACTAAGAGTCAATGTTGTTTTCATCTGGCTGTGTCGCTTGAATAATTTTCTTCTATCCGTTTGCCAAAAACTTGCTGTCGAAGCAGACCTTTGTTTTTCGCTCGCCTTTAGCCGGAGCCCAAATTGGCCACCCGCCTCCAACTCGTTAACTTCCACAACCCTTCGCTGCCATCACTCGTCGGAATTAAACCGACGTCACAATGGATGACGTCAGAACCATTGACGTCAGCAAAGCTGCGTATTCAAATTAATATTTATTCGCTCGGACGTTATACCAACTCAAACTTTTCTTTTGACATTAAGTGACGCCTAGATTTATAATTAATATTAATTGTACGTTTTTTTTTATTCAGTTTCACGAATCAGAATATATGTATTCGTACTCGAGGAATCCGATGAACTATAAAGCTCTTTTTCACAGATGTCCACTCACTCTCGCCAGCTGTTCTAACCGCGTTGTAACTGTGTGCGCTGTTGTTGTTGCTGTTGTTGTTGTTGTCACGTCTCCCTAAGCCGTGGCTGGGCGTGCTCCTGCCTCGAGACCTTTTCAGAGAGAGGGAAGGACGCGACGCCTGAAGGCCCCCCCCCCCGCCCTCTCCACCCCAGCGTCGACAACAAGACGATAGAATCTCCGGGCGCGGCACTGCGACTCACACGATGGAGCGCATCGACCCCTCTTGCCCAGCCAACGTCACGGCATACCCCACCGCCTCCCCTTCCTCCCCCTCCTCCTCCTGCCGCTCTTCTCCCAACGTCTCCGGCAACGACACGGAGGCTGGGCAGGAGGACGTCTCCTCCTCCTTCTCTTCCTCCGCGAGCGCCGTGCTGCTGCCGCTCGTCTACTTCGCGGTGTGCGCCGTGGGCCTCGCGGGCAACACCCTCGTCGTCTACGTGGTGCTGCGCTACGCCAAGATGAAGACAGTCACCAACGTGTACATCCTCAACCTGGCCATCGCCGACGAGCTCTTCATGTTCGGCCTGCCCTTCCTCGCCATCCAGAACGCGCTCTCCTACTGGCCCTTCGGCTCGCTCGCGTGCCGAATCGTCATGGCGCTGGATGGCGTCAACCAGTTCACGGGCATCTTCTGCCTCACGGCGATGAGCGTCGACCGCTACGTGGCCGTCGTTCACCCGGCGCGCGCCCCCCGCTGGAGGAGGCCCCTCGTCGCCAAGACGGTGAACGCCGCCGTCTGGGGCCTCTCCATCCTCGTCGCGCTGCCGCTCGTCGTCTTCTCGTACACGAGCCACGCGGGCGACACGTGCAACGTGAACTGGCCCGAGCCGGCGGCCACGTGGTCCACGGCGTTCATCGTCTACACGACGGCGCTGGGTTTCTTCGGGCCGCTCACCGTCATCTGCCTCTGCTACCTCCTCATCGTCGTGCGCGTCAAGTCGTCGGGGGCGCGCGTCGGGGCGGCCAAGCGGCGCACTTCGGAGCGTCGCGTGACGCTCATGGTGGTGGTCGTCGTGGCGGTGTTCGTCTTCTGCTGGCTGCCATTTTACGCGCTCAACATCGCCAATCTGGTGGTGGCGCTGCCCGAGGAGCCGGCGCTCGTCAAGATCTACTCGACCGTGGTGGTGCTGTCGTACGCCAACAGCTGCGCCAATCCCATCCTCTACGCCTTCCTCTCGGACAACTTCAAGAAGAGCTTCCAGAAGGCGCTGCGTCTGCGCAAGAGCACGAGGCTGGCGCGCGCCGCCGAGGGGCAGAGCGAGAGGCGATCGGCCACCACGGTCCGCTTCGAGGAGGGGCGGCCGGTCGCGCAGGGCGAGCGGAACGGTGGTGGTGGCGGCGGTGGCACCGAGGCGGCCGTGTGAGGCTCGCGGCGCGGGGAGAGCGAGCGGACGAAAAAGACCTCGGCAGCTTTGGATTTCGTCGTTTGGCTAATGGGCTTTTCGTTGTCGTCGTGGTTGTTGTTGTTGATTCTCGAAGCCGAACTTTTTGAGGTTGAGTCGGTGGGGGGGTGGGGGGGAGGTCCCCTCTCGCGGAGCGCGAACCGGTAGGAGAGGTAGATAGAGAGGACGGGCGGGGGCGGGGGAGGAGCTGTGGGGGGTGTGTGTGGGGCTGTGGTGGGCAGAGGGGGCTGTGGGGGGGGGGGAAACTGTGGGGGGGGGACTGTGGGGGAGATTCTTTCCCCTACTGTGGGCCAACTCGGACATTCAAACAGCTTTAGCGGGGGCAGCCAAACACGTGTAACAACAACGACGACGACAACGTGTGTACGTTGCACTTCTTTCGCACCGTACGTAGCCAGCCGTGCTCATCGGAGGTGCGGGGAACAACTTCGGACTGTCACCGCGAGAGAGAGAAAGAAACACCCCTTGAAATGACACAAACTGAGCGCAACGGAGATTAGAAACGGAGTTGCCGCGAGTTTGAATGCCCCCCCCCCACCCCCTCCCTCCCCTCTACCGCCCGATTACTGCGACCAAGATGCCGGCAGTGATGGGAAAATACTGCTCGCGGGTGACCCTTTCAAAGCGGCAGGCGTCTTCTCGTGTGGGTGACCACAAATGGCCTGGTCGGACTGAAGTTGTTGCGTCCGGCCCACGCACTGGCTGTGGGGTTCCGCGTCCCTGACAGCACGTGCGCACCTTTGCTTGAGTGTCTTCTTTGAAAAAGAGAATGGTGCGACGTGATGGTAAGACTTGCGTCCTAGCGGACACGTTGGCTGGGCAAAGGGACGTCTCGACAGATCAGACGGGGCCCAGACGAGTCCGGAGCCCTGGAGCGCGCTCGTGATCATCGGCGGCGGCGTCGTCCCACCACGAGATCGGAGGCGACCCTCCGCACCCGCAGCGGTAGGCCAAGGCTGGCGTGGCCCACGCACCATCGAGACTGCCGATCATCACCACCATCATCATCACCACCACCATCATTACCATCATCATCATCATCACCATCATCACCATCATCATCACCATCATCACCATCATCACCACCACCTCCACCATCACCACCATCATCATCATCATCACCATCATCACCACCACCACCATCATCACCATCATCACCATCATCACCACCATCATCACCATCATCACTATCACCACCATCACCACCACCATCATCACCATCATCACCATCATCACCATCACCACCACCATCATCACCACCATCATCATCATCATCACCATCATCACCATCATCACCACCACCTCCACCATCACCACCATCATCATCATCATCACCATCATCACCACCACCACCATCATCACCATCACCACCACCACCACCACCATCATCACCATCATCACCATCATCACCATCATCATCACCATCATCACCATCATCATCATCACCACCACCATCACCATCATCACCATCATCACCACCATCATCACCATCATCACCATCATCACCACCATCACCACCACCACCATCATCACCATGGCCCACTCACGATCGAGACTGCCGATCATCACCACCACCATCATCACCACCATCATCACCATGGCCCATTCACAATCGAGACTCCGGATCATCACCACCACCACCACCATCATCACCATCATCACCATCATCACCACCACCATCATCACCACCATCATCACCATGGCCCACTCACGATCGAGACTCCAGATCGCCACCATCATCATCATCACCACCATGGCCTTGGACCACGCACTCCGCGTGGTGGCGAGCGCAGGGTACGAATCACCGTCGTCAACGTGTCTCGGTTTGGAACCTCTGCGTCCCGAGGTCGCCCGCGCGTCATTCTCGCGACGCTGATGATGATGCTGACGATGCTGATGATGATGCTGATGATGCTGATGATGATGCTGATGATGCTGATGATGATGCTGATGATGAGAGATGGTACAGGCTACTTGCTATTGTCTCGTGTATGTGTGTGTGAAACAATCCATGATTTTAGACAATGGGGAAGTGGTCACTGACGCGTTTACTCTTCATGAGCGGATCCCCGGATGTCTCCGTGCAGCTGTTCCGTCAGAGGCGACGTACAAGAGGGACGCGCGCACAGCGAATCAGTGGCCACAGCAATGAAGTCAGTTCGGCATCTCGTTTGCAAAAGCAACGTTGACGATCCACCACGTGTATATATGGACATCTGTGAAATATTCTGTTTGTCATATATGGTAAAAACAAAACGAAGACGTCTCCCCTTTAAATATAACCCGCCTGTCAACTGCATAGGCCAGCAGATCTCTCTATCTCTCCTTATGAAGTATTAACCAATCGTTGCACCCGTGACTAAGATGAATACATATAACTCATTGTAAAGGTCATCATCAAGCCGACGCTCTATAAACTGCTGAATGAATGTATGATGTTGAAATCGTTTCGCACCGCTACGTAGCCAACCGTGCCCATCGGAGACGCGGGGGAGGAACAACGAACACTTCTCAAGAAACGGAGTTTCCAATCTGAATTTAAAAGTGCACAGCTCCCAGTGGCGTACAACTATCGGAAGTTAAGAGGCGTTCCAGACGGACCCGCAGAAGCGCAGCGCAACCGCCTTACTTCGACGGCTTAGCAGCCAAAAGCCGCCGCCGCCGCCTCTGCTGCTGCTGTGACGCCAAGGGCGGTCCCGGAGTTCGCGTGGCGATGCCTTTGCGCGTCCCGGGCGAATGAAAGGACCTCCCCCCCAAAAAAAAATGCAACACCGTCATCCCTTTCCGTTCGTGCGATGGGACGCAAGCCACCCCCCTCCTGCATTCGGGCGGAATTCAACCCCCCCACTCCGCCGCTCCACGTGGATGGGTGGCTCCCCTTGGGCCCCCCACCCCGTTAAACATCGCCGTGCGTCCGACTGAAGTTCAATTTGTTCGCGCTGCAAATCGTTACATTAATGAATGTGTGCTCGTGGACAAAGATAAAGCCCCCCCCCCGTGTAGCCTTAGCAGACTGTTGGGGCAAGTGCTGTTCGCGAGTAGTAGCTATGAAGGCCGGCACTGTGGCACACGGGGGGGGAGGGGTGGTCACCGACACCACGCCCGACCGCCTTTGTCGTCCCAGTGGCGATGTTTACACGCACCGCAAGTGGGTACTCGTTTGAGGCTGAGTCGACCTAGGGGAGGCTCAGGGTGCCCGGTTTAGATAATCGTCGCCGGTGTTGGCCGTGAGCGGGAATCGAACTCGGGTGGCCGGGTTCGTGGCGCTTCGCGCACAGACACACCTAGAAGTTCTTTGTCGGCGGGCGCGTGCTGTAGATACAAGAAAGGAAAAGGATTTGCATTTATAGGACGAGCTCTTAAATGCCTCGGCGAGAAAAAGAAACAATGAATCAAAGAGAGTGCGAGTTCCAGGAGAGAAATCCAATGCATACCAAACACTGGGATTCCACACGCACACACACACACACAAAAGAAGCGAAAACGAGTCGAGAAGATGCAACAGATGGAAATTAATCTTCATCGTCGATGTCAAAGGAGGTCATTATCGCGTCCCACCTACGCTCAGTGTCGCGACTCAACGAGAGGGTGACAAAAACAACCACAACCAACGGGGACATTGACGGGACATTTATGGGACATTTACGGGACATTTACGAGACATTGACGGGACATTTCCGTTGCGCGTCGTGTATTTCGTTGGCAGCGTGAAGCTTTGCACATCCATCCCTGCGCACCATCATACGCCCGTGCTAGTCGTTGTGGTCGTTGGGCATTCGTGAAAAGGTGGAAAGTGTCCCCTCTCTGTCCTCTGTTTCGCTTCGGTGCAATGCGGTGGACGTTGTGAGTCACTGCTGCTGCTGCTGCTGATTAAAACATTTCATTTTAATTCGGTGGTTTTCCGATCTGCAACGTGCGTGGTGGTGGTGTGTGTGTGGTGCATCTGGGGAGACAAAGGCGGCCGGACGTGGTGTTAGTGGTGAAGGGAGGTTGCTGTTGTCATTGTTGTTGGGAGATGGAGCGGTGGTGAAGCGGTCACCGCACTGCGCTACGAATCCGGCGACCCGAGTTCGATTCCAGCCCACGGCCACCAACACCGGTGACGATTGTCTGAACCGGTCCTGGTCCTCCCCAAGGTCAACTCAGCCTCAAATCAGTACCCGGTGCGATGTGTAGTAAAATCGCCACTCGGGAGACAAAGACGGCCGGGCGTGGTATTGGCCACCCACCCCCTAGCGTGCCGTGCCGGCCTTCATAGGTGCTCGCTAACAGCACTCGCCCCGACAGTCTGTTCAGACTACACGGGGGGCATCTTTGTCTGTGGTGCATCTGCCAGTTATCTGAATCATTCGACCCACGGCACCTGCATGGATCTGTCCCGTGACCTCCTGCCTGCGGCGAATCTTTCGCGCTTCGCGTCGCCTCAAAGTGCACCTAGCCTGGCACAAGCGCTGTGGGGACATCACCGTAATGGCAACTGCTTTGTTGTTGTTATTGTTGTTGTTGTTGCTTGGTGCGATATCTCTTGGTGATCTCGCGCCCCGTCCGTCAACCCCCGTGACACGTGTTTGAATTCTCTGCGATGGTCACCTCCGATCAGCACGCTTGGCTGCGTACGGTGCGAAAGAAGTTCAACGCACGTGCATGCAACAATAGCGGTTGACTCCACCTGTACTTGGAAGAAGAAGAATAATCATTCATGATGTCAACTTGTAACGCACCGCCGCTACACAGCGTTCGCTCGCTCACGCGTAGAGATAGAGAGAGGATTGGGCACCTCAAGAGGCACCAGGACGAGGAACCACATACTATATTAAACTGTTAACTTAACTATATATTTTTTTAAAATTATTATACCAGGTAAGGCCCACTGAACTACACAGCTCTTTTTCAGAAGCGACCTGGCCACAAATGATAGCTCAACGAAGTGGGCTTCTCGCGTGGAAATGTATTGCAGCCAAATAATGGAAAGGCGTGTTCATTCTAAATGTAGAGGGAGAGAAAACAATCCACGCGACTACGGAGAGAGAGAGAGACACGCAAACTTCAAATATACAGCCGGCGTCAGGGTCTGGATCGAACCCACGACCTCCTGTATACCAGGCTAGGTAGTTAACATCTCACCACGGAGAGAGAGCCACGCGCAAACTCCATATATACAGCCGGCGTTAGGGTCTGGATCGAACCCACGACCTCCTATATACCAGGCGAGGTAGTTAACATCTCACCACGGAGAGAGAGACACGCGCAAACTACATATGTACAGCCGGCGTTAGGGTCGGGATCGAACCCACGGACCTCCTGCATACCAGGCGAGGTAGTTAACATCTCCTAGCCACCGCGACGAGCGGCGAGGCAGTAGCAGCAGTAGCAGCAGCAGCAGCTGCAGCTACGAGGTTAACCGGCCTCATCAATCTAGCAAGTTCTGCGTTGTTCTCAGCACAATTAAAACCCACGCGTGCTCACGGGGAAAGAACGCTCTCTCGCGCAACCGACCGAACATGTTGAGTTCCGCAGTGTTTTTGCTGTGCTGCCTTCTCTTGGCAAGCCACGGTTATGACACCTCGGGTGGTGTGACCAGAGCCACGCCGAAGCCCCTCATTTCGCCTCCCCACCGCCGATGCTGAACGCACCCGCACCCAGGTGTTGACGATCGGAAGGCCCAGGAATCGCTCCAAACATTCGCCGGCCCAAGCATGTATTGGTCGTGAGCGGGAATCGAACCCGGCTTCTCCGACGGGTTCCAGCAGCGCAGTGCAGCAGAGCCGCGTAAACCCGCTGTGCATTGCCGGTCGCCAAGGCTTCATCGTGGATGCAAATCCGATCCCAGCTGTCCCAGCAGGACACTGGGCAGAGTTCCGTGAATCTCATCAATCTCCCAATGACCTCGCTTCCCTTCATCGCCTCTGATGTCGCCCGCCCGCCCGCTCGCTGCGCTCTCACGAAGTCGTCCCTCGTGCGCCCTACGCCCGCAGTCTCGGCATGACCGCTTCCTCTTCTTCCTACTCCTCTTCTCGTCCTTCTGGCTCCCCTCCGTTGGAGCGAGCTGCACACTGCATCTCAAGCGATCGCCCTCGCCAAACCAGCTCCCCACGATTCCCTCGACAACAACAACAAAAAAAACATTTTTTTTCTGGCCTGGAATTTTGCAGCTGTTTTAGACTAATTTCAGGATGCTGATTCCAAATGTGATCTCAGATTTGCTCTATCACATCTCATTTTTATGCTATCGGCATACCCCCATTTAATTGATTTTACCCGCAATTAACTCTGTCACTTATGATTGCAAGTTGTTGCGAGTCAGTGACTGCTTTAGTGTTAAAATATGGTGCTGTATTTTTAGGATAGTGTGTTTATAATATCATTTTATGTAGATATCCACATTTATTTAATATTTTTCTTCTGCAGTTTTTATTGAAAATGCCATATTTGATATCTCAAAAACCTGATGTGATAGACAAAAACTGATGCCAGATTTGGAATCAGCACCCCAAAATTACCTTAAAACCGTTGGAATACCTTATGCCAGAAAAGTGTGTCGACCAGTGATATCGATGACTCGTACCTACCTCTCTCCTCCTGTCCCCCCCCCCCCCCCTACATTGCCCTGATTCCTTCCCCGCATTAAACCCGAGCCCACCCTTCCCCCTTGGTATTCCTCATCCCATGCACGTTTCGTAAATTCACCCACCAACCCGTCCCCTGGAGTCCAGGGGTCCCCAACCCCCGTGCCGCGGACCGGTACCGGTCCCGTGACCTGCTAGGAACCGGGCCGCACAGCAGCACGAGGTGAGAGCGGTGAGTCCGCGCGTGGCCCCCGCCCCCATTGTTTTATTATTCACCACTTCCGTCCGCGCCTCTTTCCCGCACGTGTCTCAGTCACAGTTGTGGTAAGCGCACAAGCTGCTAACCCCTAGTAGCCAAAATGAGTAAAACACAAACGTCGCTGGAGAGCTTTTTTGAAAAGGGGGAAAGACCCAATGATGACCCCCCACCACGGTCCGTGAAAAAAATTGTCTTCCATGAAACCGATCCCTGGTGCCACCAAGGTTGGGGAGCGCTGCCCTGGACCATTTATGTTGCTGTAACGTTTTGCAAAGCGCCTCGATGAACGCGGCGCTATGCAGATCTGAGATGA